TTTATTATATATATAACGAGACTTTCATAGAGTAAATGGCATAAATAGAAATCTATATGCTATATTTTCACATGTGAAAAAAAGCTATATGTCCAATCAGAAGCGCGTATAGCATTTCTCACACTGTAAAAATATAACCAATCACAACACAGAAAAACCGTAATCAGCCAATCAGAAAGCGACGTTCACAACACTGAAATGGCTTCTCTTAGTCACATACCGCGCGTTGATGGCAAAATGGCTGAAGGTGAACTGTGTTTGTTGATCAAAATTCCACATTTGAAGAGTTTATTAGTGGACAGGAAGGCAAACAAACTAAAGAAAAATAAGAAGAGATGTTTTTCTTCAAGAGAATTAAGTTTTTTGCCATCCAGAATGAACACGAAAGCATGGAAAACATCAGCCAAAACTATARCTTTAACGAAGAGAAATTTGTCTCGTTGGTGTTTACCATGAGTTCAGGCCGTTTTATACCAAGTTTTGATCGTTTTCTGCAAAATTTAAACTTATCTCCATGCAATATAGAAAGACAGGACTTCAGTAAGACAAGAGATGTACCTGTAGGAAAGCAAAGTCAGCTCAAACGAAGACGGGAATTGCAGCGCGTTATCTTACATACTGACCAAGAGAAGTAGTTTTCACTACTAAGAACTGTTATTTGTTCCTCTACTTACTATAAAATCTCACGAAAACTTGGACGTTCCTGCAGCTTAGTGGAAAGTAGGACTATTAATTTAGTTGTTTTTTGTAAGCCTTAAGTTTTATCAAGTTAATTTATTAAGTTTAATTAACTTATCTGTGCATTTTTTTCGACATAACTTAAGCTCATTGAGTTTGTTTCTTAAAATAGTTGAACAAGCTTATTAAAAAGTATGCCGAATGAAAGTCTCGTTATATATATAATAAACGGCTTATAGCATGGAAAGTGCTTTGTACGGCATTTTATTCACTCGTTGTTTGCATCATAAACTCACTCGCTCGTTCCTCGCTCGTTCGTTGTATGATGCMAACRACTCGTGAATAAAATCCCGTACGTCGCACTTTCCATGAAATAAACTCTATATTTTCACAAGTGAAAGTAACAACTTTATGTCATGGAAAAATATAGGTATTTATGTACATTGTTATATAGTGGGTGATCCATAAGAAATGTTGTTGGAAGATTTTGAAAAAAAAATTGTGCACGGCAAAATTTTTAAAAATCTCCACTAAAAGACCCACTTAAGCTGCGCTAAAATGCGCGCCTGAAGTCCTAAAAAAAATCGCTTGCACTGACAAAATCCCCCCAAAAAAATGCAAAATAACATTATTTTAGTCTTTTTTCGTCAGGTTCGTTATTTTTTGTCCACTTTGCCTCTAAGATCACGCTGTTTTATCACTGTATTCTACTTTTAGTTTATTCCTATAACTTACCGGAAAGGCGTAATGACTCACTTTCCCAACTTTAGTCAAATTTTGACCATCATATTCGTATTTATCAAAATCCAAATGTTCGCAGTCAAAACGCCCATCGTTATCTGCAGTCATATTCACGTTGGCAGACATGCACCGAATATCGGCAATGCACTCAACCAGACAGTCCAAATAGCTCAACAATTTCTTCGTTTTCAATGGAGTCCCCTTAAGTCTGTATCCTTTGAGATCGATAAAATTTCCAAACATGAACCCGTCTTTTTGCCCTTTTACTTCAGGATCAAGAGCAAGTACAGGCATTACAGCCATAAAGCAGAGACTCAGAACTTTGATAATAATTTTGAGGTGCGATCTACACAACCTTTTGGTAAAAACCTTTTCAATAGTGAAAGTCCTCTAAGGTAAATTTTCACTACTCCTATCCACTTATCTTTGCCCCTATTTAGTAGTCAAATGAAGGATGAAGTGACGTATTGTCTAAATTTTCAATCAACAATTAAAGATGCTTTTATTCTCATCTGCATCTCCTGCCGAGAATTTTTTATTTCACCTGCCGACATTCTAACTCGAAAATAAATTGCTTTCCCCGCGCACATCTTCTATACTTGTCTTCTTAGAAATTGTTTTCTCTATTTGATCCTCTATTTAATCTCGTACCCAAAGCCCGCACTTTTGCCGTCTAGCGGAAGGCAATGCGTCAGAGACCACAGGGATCGAGAACAGAAAAATTCATATCAAGTTGCAAAAAAAAGTATTGCTAGTACGAAAAGCGAGTGTTACGTTAGACTGTCGTTATTAGACACTGTGTTCACTGGAAAAAATCGCGCTCCTCGAAGGTTGTAAATATAATGGAAAAAGTATGTAAATTTGATTTACACTATATTTACAAAGGTTGTAAATATCGTGTAACTGTCCAAAATGATGTAAATATCGTGTAAATTTGGATTTACGCGATATTTACATCGTTTGATTTTCATCATATTTTCATCATATTTCCATTAAATTTACAACGTTTGTAAAAACGATGTAAAAACGATGTAAATTTGATGTACGTGATATTTACAACATTTTTACATCAAATTTACATCGTTTTGGGGGAATTCTAGAGCAACTCAATTAAAATCATTCTTATAAACAGCGAAACTTTTTGTTTCAGTTACTTTTTTTATTTTAAATCATGTAAATATATGCAACAACTCGATAGCGAGGCTTTAAATTATCTCAAATTCAAGATGGCGACCGCAATGTCACGTCCGTTCGTCTGTATTAGCAGCGATTTTTACTCGAATGTCGTTAGAAAAAGTGGATTCTTAAATTGAATGAGAAAATTTCCAACCCAATGTGGAAAATGCCAACGAAAAGGTGAGTAATGTGCTTATTTTTGTCTTGTAACCTTACATGCTTTACTTATTTTTGTTTCCTGCTGCTTTATAATTATCAGACAGTGGGATGTTTTAGCTTGAATAGTAGAAGAAGACCAACAAAAGTAAGTTGTGTCCACATATCAGATGACAAACCATTAGCTAAAGTTAAC